CAATACGTGCATCATCATCGTCATCATCATATTCGTCGTAGTTGAAAGTAGGAAAGCAGATATGGAGTACATATTCCAATGGGGGTGGCGGCACCGGCACCGGCACCAGCGCTGCTGCTGCTTCTGTTGTTCATGTTGACGCCGGGGAAAACCTCGCACAACATTTGCATATCGATTTCATATGCAGTGAGGAAAAATTCATATGTTTTCGCGACTTTTTCCAACCAACCAAAACAACAACAACAACAACAACAACCAACAGAGAGCTTCTCTTTCCCTGCTGCTCTGCTCTGCTGGTCTCCAGCAAACGCAAATGCAATCCATGTATTTTTTTTTTTATTATTGTCGTACTCCTCCATGCTCCAAAAATTGTGCGGAATAAACATGAAGATGTTTACTTCTCTCTCTCTCTCTCTCTCTCTCTCTGTCTCTCTGTCTCTCTCTCGTGTGCTCTCTCTCTTTTATTTTGCATAATCTCCGCGGTATTGGTACTATCTGAAAGGGATATACTATATGCTGTTTATCTCCTATGCCATATAGAGTTCACATTTTTAAGAGAAAGTTCCACTTGATTTCCTCATTTTCATGCTGCCTCAACCGAAAAGGAAATTGTAGATTATTTGAAAATTTAATAAGGCCCCCACTCCTCGCCACACCCTGTGTCATCCATCCTGCTGCAAATGGGGGAAAACTTGACATCGCCTCTGGGTCGGGTCTCGTCACACATTTCGCTTCATTTTTCAACCCGTAGCTATGGAGGGCGGGGGCCGGCCTGAAGCTCTTTGTGTCTGTTTGAAGTTTGCTTGCATGTAAATTGCTCTGATTACCACGTTGCAGTTTGCTCCACCCTCCACCCTGAACCCCCATCACCATTTCCAACCATTCTGTGTCTCCTTTTCTCACTTTTGGTTACTCATTTGATTTGCTTGCACATTTTGCCGCACTGTTGTCTCGCTTCTCTCCTTGCCTTTTGCCTTTTACTTAACCTAATGCAAATCGCTGTTATTACTGCACTTCTTTTCCCTTAGTCGATCCCTGCTGCCCGCTCCCTCTTTTCTGCTCTATCCTTTCTTCCGTTTAAAACACTTGAAGTATTTATGTGCTCCTTCCGGTGCTGCTCCTTCCCAGGGTCAAGGAAGGAGCTATGAAGTCGCCGAGTGTCATAAAATTTGAATGCAATTTTTTTCTTTGCTTTTTTTCTTTGGTCTCTGGTCTTGCAAACAATTTGAGTGGAAATGAGCAGTCATTTGTTCGCTATTTACGAGGTATGGCGGGGATAGGGAAAGTGTGTTGCGGGTTTGGGTGGCTCTTATTGGCTCTTGGAAAGAGGTAAATTCCTGTCATCGCTTGAATTTATAATGAAAGAACACAGGTAAACACAAATCATTGGGGATTTGATTTGATATCATTTGAGTTACACCCAAAGAAAAATCACTGAAATTACAATACACCCAATAGATTTTGCACTGAGAGTGGGCAATGCAAAAGTTTCCTCTTAATTTTAATATTAATGTGTAAATATTTGATGCAAGAGTATTGCATATTAAAAAAAAATATATTTTACTTCTAAATAAAATATTGCGTATTAAAATAAATATATATTTAATTTCTAAATAAAATATTTTCACTATTATCTTAAACATACATATTTAAAATAAATACGTGCCGCATTAAAATATCTTTTTATTATAGGTATTTTTAAAATAAAATTTAATTCTATTTAATTTCACTATTTTTGTATTTAGAACCCGAATATGGGTGCCATTTTTCTCTGAGTGTAGTTGTGCCAAAGCAAGCTGTCAGTTAATTAATCCAACAAAATGATTGTTAATGTTACATGAAGCAACATCAAAGGTTGATTCGATTTTAGAGCTGTGTCAAAGTAGAACTAAAATTCAATGCATAAATTGTTGCCCCCAAAGCAAACACACATCGAAAAGTGTTTTATTGAACTGCTTTTCATTGGAAAAAAACCCTCGGTACAACCATTTCGGAGCTCTGCAAAGAGTGTACTTATGGAATCAATATATATTGTATATATATCTTGTATTATTTTTTGTTAGGTTGCTCTGTTTCCCACACCGACGCTCAAGCCTTTTGCTTAAGAACACCCCCAACCCCAACCAACTATTGAAAGCTCTTTTTAAAATGTCTATAGAAAAAGCCTGCTATTTCTGCCAGAAATAACAATAGCAACAGCAACGAACGAGGCAGCAGAGCAGAGCAGTCGAACGACAAAAAAGAAAACCAATCAAAGGTTGTCCTCCTTAGCATTGCTGCCTGCCAAAAAGTATGCAACACTTTTGCGACACTCAAAGGAAGGAGCTGGTTGGTGTGGTGTGGTGGCGAAGAGAATAAAGAAAAAAGTGGAGCCAAAAGCAGGAAACAAAACTCGGCGACTCACTCAAGCATTTTATTAAATTGCCACCTTCCGTTTGTTGTTACGTTGAGACGACGACAACGACTACGATGACTCCTATCCTCTCCGACTGTCTTTTTCTATATCCAAGTTTTTCGATTTCTAGGCAAAGTACCCACCCAGCAGTACCCTCCCCCCTCCCTCTACCAAACTTCAGTCTGGTTTCTCTGGCGGTAAACCAACGTTGGAAAAAATATATTATTTCTGCCATTTTTTTCCCCCACACCACCCCCCCTCTATTATATCGTTTCCGCTGTTGGCCCACGAAAAACTTTTTTGTCAGCTGTTTTAGTTTTTTTTTTTTGTATTTGTATTTGGTTTGTTGTTGCTGCCTCTTTGGAGGTTAAAGTGCCAAATCACGAAACAAGCAGCAAGCAACATTTCTCAGTCTAGTTTTGGGTTCTAGGATATTGAATTGCAATTTTTGTGCTGTGCTGCGCCGTGCTGTGGTGTAGTGGAGTGTCTATAATGCGGCAAATGTTGGATAGAGTCCAACTTAAATTTGCATTGAATTTTAGTTTTAGGCGCAATGCGGGCGGTGGCACTCAGCAAGCAAAAAGGCTTATCTGAAATTGAAAATGGGCACCCACACACACACACACAGACACACATACCTGGTATACTGACACACCCACATTAAATCCGAGCGAGTTAGACGATAGAGAAAATACCCTACAAAGTTTATGCGAAATTTTGCATTTAATGGAAGTTCCGCAAAGCTTGCAAAAAATTCAGTTAATATTTTAGGATTTATTTTTAAGTTTGATCTATTAAGTTTCAACGTACTTTTGGGCATATTCTCCCCACTAATTTCCCACTATTTTCCCGCTTTTACACAGCATGTAAGCCACACCCCTTTTTGGCTCTATGGAAAACTATCATTTCCATCATTAGCAAACACCAAAAAAAAAAAATAGAAAAAACAACCAAAAAAATTAGTTAAGCAAACACACAGCCACTGACACAAAGAGAGAAAAAACACACACTCCCACACAGAGAGAGGGAGAGAGAGAGAAAGTGCCGAAAATTATTAAGCATACGCCATGTTGTACAAGGGTAATTACATACATCTAGCTGCAGGGGCAACGCGACACCAGCACCGGAAGAGGACTGCAGAGAGAGTGTGGGTGGGTGGGCGTTGGATTTGTAGGAGATTGTATTATTCCTGACTTGGCAGGAAGCCGCGCAATGTCAGAGAAACTTTTTTGCGTTTTTTTCCTTTTTTTTTTTTGTTACAACTTGTTAACAATAAACGCCGCTAGAGGTCGCCCAATTAAAAATGGTATTCCCTTGCTCTCTCTCTCCCTCTCTTTGTGGGGGGTGTGCGGTGTGTGTGTGTGTGTGTGTGTGTGGGGTTAAAGTCAACATTTTTCTGGTCACTTAAGCAGATTAATATCATGGGTATAATTAAAAGAAGCAAAACCCAAAGCGTGGGCAGCATGGTGGAGCAGCGAAGAGCAGGGGCAGGCCAAAGAGCAGCTTCCTGTGCTGGCTGCAAAATTAACATAAATTACAAAAAATTTTCGCCAACTTTTTTTTTTTTTTTTTTTGTTAAACATTTTGCTGGCTCACATAATTGATGGTTTTTAATTAACTGCCAAGTGACCGACAACTGACAGCGTCAGAAAGTTCAGGACAAAAGGGTGCCACCGGCCACCGGCCACCGACCACCGACCACCAGCGGGGTGAAAGAATGACAGAGAATGACAGACAGAGAGACCGTCCGTCCCAATGAATGAATGAAAAGTTCGATGAGAAATCCGTTTAAGAAAATTGTTTGGGAGAGGCAAAAGAGTATCCCCCCTACAACTGAATGCACTTCCCCCCTCTGACCACCTTTTTCCTCATTTTTTTTATGCTAGTCTCCACTTTTCTCTTTGTTGTCTACGAGTCCCTTTTTTAGGCCAATAAAAATACTGTCAAATACTAGATATTGGCCCGCTTTAAGGCTGGCCACGTTTTTCACGCATGCAATTTGGCCAATAAAATCCCGGACGGCGGATCAGTCAACTTTCGTCACACTTTCTCTCTGCCCTTATTCTCTGCTTGTTCTATCAGTTTTTTTATTTTTTGTTTTTGCATTTTTTAAAAATGTTTTGGAATGTTTTCCAGAAAAGAATTTCATAAATAATATTAAAATATTTTTTTTAATATTTTTAACCAAAAATTTCAAAGCTTAAATTTCAATCCAAATCTATTCCTCATAAAAAAACTTCTCGCACAGGAAAATCTATTTCCAAAATACTTCAAAGTCCTCTTTTGACTCTATAGGAAATCAATTTTCAAAATACTTTCGCTTTGGGGATGTGTGTCCATGCATCCGCAAGCCCCCATTTATATTTTGTTCTGTGCCACAGAGCACACACACACACACACCCACACACACACAGAAATATTTCTCACGCCTCGCTGGTCACTTTGTGGCATGCGTTTTGTTGATTTGTTTTGTTGGCCTGTGCTCAAATATTTTCGGGCTGGCATACTTTTAGTTACCCGCAGAAAAACGCATCTATGCACCGCAATTGGTGTGCTGTGCGGAATATTCTTTGTTTTAGCAAAAACAAAAAAAAAGGAAACTTACCATTGCGATTCTCACTATCGGCGGGCTTCATTTGAATGGGATGGTACATCTGAAAGAAAAGGCAGAAAATTTTTGTGAGAAAATGCGTGAATAAATTTGGGACATATTTTTGATGTAGAATATATTTAAAGCAATTTTTAAACAGCAAATAATCCAGTCTGAGTTTGAGTAACTTAGAGCAAAAGTGCTGGTAGTTATTTGTGAGCATTTTCCTATTCTGTTGCTGCACTCGAATCGCCCAACGCAATCAGAGCAGCGAAGATAACAGATCAGAGTTCATAATTACAGAGGCATTATTCCCTAAAATTGGGCAAATCCTTACCTATAGGCCACTCTCTACCGGGTAGTACAAAGCCATCCACTTTTTCTCTTGTTAAAATCAAATCCCCAAAGGGCCCCGGCCCGCCCCTCCTCACTGCTTCCATTTTAATCACATTTGAAATATTAGAGCGCAATATGCTCGGCCCCAACAAAAAAAGGGGGACGAAGGCCGCGATTAATTTACAGAGCTTTAGCCCGAAATGCAGTCGCCAAAACACACACACTGCAGTTGAAGGCATAGTAGTGGGACAGGGAGGGTTGGCAGGCAGAGTCACCCTTCACTTAAGCTGCATAATGAATGGAATGCGGGCAACGGGCAACGGGCAAAGGAGGCCCCCCCCCCCCAACCAACCAAAGAGGAGGAGCACACAAAGCCTCTGCCTAAATCCTTGACAAAAGCCAAACACATTTATTCAGCGGTCGCTAAAAAGGAACTGAGAACAAGGACGAGGCAAAGGATGGGATGGGCAGCAAACGGGGGGGTTTGAGTTCCTCGGGAAAAATCCTAAAATATGCGTTGGACTTTGCAGCGTGCTTTAAATGTAATTTTTCGCACACACAACGTCTTCTAATTAAAACGAGCTTAAAGCTCGTACTCTTACGCCATGCCACGCCCCTTTCTCCAACCAGACCAGCACAACGAATGGGCACGAGGCCAGGCGCAGCAAATTCGCTACACTGAGCGAAAATTCAGCTAAAATTTCGACATGTAAATTTTGTATTCTTGAGCATTCTCTTTTGAAGCATTCGCTTGTGCGTCTCGAGCATCAATGTGATGTCCCACAACAGAATTTATCCACAAATAAATAATACCAATCGTATGAAAAATGTCCTCTGAATCCCAAGCTCTGAATAATTTATAAAATTATATCGTATATTTCAAATGCAAAATAATATGCTAATAGATTTTCTGCCTCAGTGTAGAATTGGCCGCGTGACTGGCGCGGCGCACACAAAACGCGCTCCTCACGATGTGGAGAGGAGTCACGTGTTCAGCTCTAGGACTGGACAGGGACCCGGGACCTACTGCGAGGCTAATGGCGCGTGATTTATTGGCAACAGGCGGCGAGAACGGTAGAAAACGACGACAGTCTACGCTAGAAGGCAATGTCCTTGTGCTTCCCTTTCCCGGTGTACTGGCACCTGGACTGGCCGTAAATAATACACGCAACGGCGACTGGTTACAAATTGCAGTAGTCCAAGTCCAAGTCAACCTAGGGGCTCGGCTTGGCTCTCCTCGCCTCTCCTCCTACTCCTACAAGGCCTTCGCGTCGTTTCATTTGCTTCTCTTTCTGCCTCGGCCTCTGTCCTCTCCTCTGTTACTTTGGCGGGGTGTTCGCTTTCTACTCCTTCATTCCTTCTTATTTTGCCAATTTATTTATATGCAGGAAGTAGCAATTACCAGTCAAACACAGGCGGCATACACAACCAGGCCACCCACCCACCGGACGGAGGAGGACTCCGACTCCTTTGGCTCCATTTTGCTCACTATGTCAACTGGTTTTGGTTTCGTGGTTGACTGTTTCTGGCTTTCACCTAATTGGTTGAAATATCGCCGAGAACTGTTTTCTATTGGGGCAATTATCGGTTTTTGCCTGCACTTAATCAGCAGCCAGCAAGTTGGGTCATGAAATGCAGCATTTTCAGCAATATTTTATCAATGGAAATGAAATGGGGAGAGACACATTAAATGTTGATAATAAATTAGCTTAAATTATATGATTTTTGAATATTCTTTTAGATTTGTAGACATCTTCAATTCAAATTCATTCATAATTCTGAAATTTGCTCAACTTCTGATCTAATAAATAACACCAATTTTTTTTACATCCCACCTTTGCCCTAGTAAATTTTTGTATATTTTTCTATTCATTCTCCCCTTTTTAGGTTAGCTCTTCCTTTAGTCAATACCAATCGAAAACCACCATACCCTACCCCCCCTTCAACAAGAAAATTTCACCAATCAACATGAATAACCGAAAACATTTTCCGATAACAATCGCAAATTGTGCAAGAAAATTACAAGCCAGCGTCAAAGCCTGTCAGCCCCGTCCAACGGAAAAAAGAGGCAACGGCAACCACAATCAAATGCAGCACGCACATGTCCCTTCCCTGTTATCCTTTCCGGTGGCGTTACCCCACTCATCGCCTGCTTCAAATGCTCCTTCTTGTTGTACCCTACCCGAATGTATTACGAATTAAATAGGATGTCTGTAATGCAGTGAGCCGATATTTAATTTTAAAATTGTATTAAAACTTTGTCCAGATGGCATGAAAATTTCAGTAAAATAATATAAAAATAGAATATCAAAATAAGCAAATCTTATCTTAAAATCGATGCAGAAAGAATACCAGAAAATACTAGAAAACTCCAAAAAAAAATACCAAATAGTCTCAGCCTCAAAATTTTAAGATTTTTGCGAAATGAAATCGAACAAATTCTATATGATAAAATGTATTATCCAACCCAAAAGCTAGGGAAATATCAATGTTTTTTAAGGGTATCAAAACCTTCGTTGTTACTGCTTTATTTTGGTTCCCCTATTGGCGGCGTTTCCTTTGCCGTTGGCAATTTTCTAAAATAAATATCGCAGCTACAGCAGCAGCAGCAGCAGCGACACGAGGCAGAAGCTCCATGCAAATTATGTCAGTCGTCGGTCGGTGCTAGGGGGTCGGGAGGAGTCTTCCCTCTGAAGCCGATAACGTGATGACATAAGCATTGTCCCTAGCAGCACACATCCCATCCCTTGCTCCATTTTTTTTCGCTGTCTTGTGGTTCTAGCCAACACATGGCTTTCAAATAATAATAATATTCAATGCTTATTTGATGGCGCTATAGAAAAAGGACAACACCAAAGAAGCGAATGCAAAAAGAGAAAAAAGCGCAACATTGCCAAATGTCGCTCGCTTTTGCTGACGTGGCTTCCCCTCCCTATCTCTCACACTCTCCGCTCCTCTTGCTCCTCTCCTCTCTTTGTGCTGTTCCCTACACGTTCTCCTCATTCGCTGACAACTTTCCAGAGCTTTGCCGCTGCCGCTGCTGCTGCTGCTGCTCCAAAGTGCAAATTGACATTTTTGTGCCTGTGGTTTGCTCTCTTCGCTTTTGCGCCAACAAAAAAAGAATTGCCTGCAAATGCAGTTCGTTGCACCGAAACTGGTATGGCCTTTTCCTAGAGATTGCCTTGGGAAACAATATGTTTTAAAAATTCTTTTGATAGTCAGATGAGAGAATAAAATATTGGCAAAGTTCTGATTCTGATTCAAACTGAGAGAACTTTCTTGACATTCAGTAACATTTTTCCTGCTTTTAAGAATGCAATGGCAGTGGCAAGTATTTTAAGCTAGCAATTCTATGAATATCATCTATAATGTCAAACAATTTTATTTCCAATAGAAATTTATTTTATAAATATCGCTTTTGGGCACCTTCCTCTTGCTTGAGTATTTACTCGTCGTAACCTTCCTATGAGGCCTATCCAAGCGAAATGACTTATTAATTATTATACTTTATATTTTGTATTATTTAATATATAAAACTGCAAACTTCAACTGGCATTGGAACTGGCCGCCTTGTATAATGTTTCTACTCTTTGGCAGTGAATACAAAAGATAAACTTTTGGCGCGTGTCTTCGTCTTCTTGTGCTAACAATTTTCGCTTTTTTTTTTGTTTTTTTTTTATTCGTTGTCTTCTCCCATTTTTAAGCTGCCACAGGACACAAGGCTAAACTTTTGAAATTACTTGCATTTTATAGGGAAATGTGCAGAGCGGACAGAACAGAAAAGAACCAAAAAAGAAAACCGAAACTATATTGGGGAAAATACTAGCAGGAAGAAAGGAATATTTCGTGCTTCGTGATTTAACCCCTCCCCAACCCACCAACCCCTTTGGCATGCATTTTTTATTTTATTTTCTGTTGGTATTTTTGTATTCTTTTTTTTTTTTTTGTGCGGTGTCATGGCTCTGTCTGTCCAAACGCCAGTCAATCTGTCAGTCAGAGAGTCAGTTAGCCATAATGAAGGAGGCGCCAGCAGGACAGTAGCAGCCACGAGATGATGATGGAAGTGATGCTGCTGCTGCTGCTATGCCTCTCTCTCTCTTTCTGTCTCCTGTCTGCCCTAGCCCCTCTTTGCCATATTGCTCCTGTCAGCCGGATGATGGCGTTTCATGATAAGTTTATAGAGTTTTTTCCTGTTTCTGTCAGATCAGCTAAAATTCCAATTAAAGGTTACGAAAGCAAAGACATCTCTCCCTGTCCGCTAATGATGTAAAGCGAAGCAGCCAAGCCAGCGAAGGCTCCTTCCAATAAAGGTTTATGTTGCACACAAATCAAAGGAAAACAGAATACAAAAATGTTAAAATCTTCTTACCCCAGCCAGTGTCTTCACATTATGCAAAGCATCCTGGGCCTTCAGTGCGGCACGTCTCGTAAAGAATGTCACAAAACAGCAACCTGCAAAAAATAGGGGAAGCAAAATGTATATAAGATTAGCATAAGGGTTAAATTGGAGTTTATTTTGCGAGCCCCCCACCCCCAAAAATAAAGGTGGCAAAGCGAAATTATGAAAATTATTGTTATTAGCAAAGTCAGGCACGGGCACGGGCACGGGCAGGGGCAGGGGCACACGGGCATAGGCGGGCCAAACGGAAGTGCGGAATTGTAAGGAAACGGTGCTTTGAATGCCAAACGTGTGGCAAAGGAAACAATGGGCGTGGCTGCACGGCGTGGGGAGGCGCAGATGTGGCAACAACATGACAGCCTTGCCACTAAATTAAGCATTATGGGTCCACCCCAGCCAGCCAACAAAATGTGTCGCCTAGGGGAGGGAGGCAGAACGAGAACCCTTTTGTTGCTGCCACAAAAAAGGGGATGAAAGGAGCACGAGCACACAGGGGGGGTGTGGGGTACAAAGGTGTTGGAATTTACGCAGCAAAGTGTGGCAGGCATATTAAGTGATACTTAAGACCAAACATTAGCGCGCCGCAAATGTTCATGTCGCCTGCCCCACAATATTCACACTTCGTGAATAGTTTCCATTTAGCTTAGCTAGCTCCCCCCCCCCACACCCACCCACCATAAAATGTATGAACAAAAAATCTGTGAATATTTCTAGTATTTAGGTGGCTAATAAAAGTAAAAGTTTATTGCCACAAAAAGGTTGCCAAATTATAATTATAATTATTATTATATTTTTATTAATTTTTCTTTACTTTTATTAGTTTACTTTTGTGTGCAAGTCACAATTGAAAGTAGCTCAAAAAGCACGCACTGCAGAATGACAAAAAATACGAAAATAATGCTGAAATTCACCAAAAGAAAAGTCCTATTGGATCCGCAAATCATTCGCGAATTTTAATTAGTTTTACTAGATTATGGTCCATCAATTTATGCCATCAGAAATACATAGAACAATGCCTTTAATGCTCAACAGATTATTTTCTCTTATTTAATTCATAATCTTTATATAACTAATAATAGATACTAATATATTCATATAAATATATTATAAAAAATAATATGAAAATAATGCTGAAATTCACCAAAAGAAAAGGCCTATTGGATCCGCAAATCATTCGCGAATTTTAATTAGTTTTACTAGATTATAGTCCAGCAATTTATGTCATCAGAAATACATAGAACAATTTCTTTAATGCTCAACAGATTATTTTCTCTTATTCCATTCATAATCTTCATATAACAACATAATTATAATAATTATAATTACATTCTAATATCCTAAGTTCATCCTTCAAGTGTCCGGCTTTAAATTCACAGCGAAATCATTTCAATTTCTCCATCGCTCTCTTTCTATCTCCCTCTCTCATTTTTCAAATCTCTCCTTCGCATGGCATTTCATTTCAATTTGCACAAAAAAACAAAAACGAAAAGAGGAGCAGAAATGTTTTGTAGGTTTTATTTTTGATGTGGCGGAAATTCTCGTTCTTTCTTTCTTTTTTTTTTTCATGTGTGTGCCAAATCTGTGGCCAAGGCTCACACACACACACAGCCACACACACAGAAAGCTTTGGTTAAAATCCATTTCCGGCTCTTGCACACATCCCACGGATGTCCCGTAACCCCGCCCCCCCACCCAACCCCTCGTTTATCCCTTCGCGTACCTGTATTGAGGCCTACCTCAACCTGTGTGACGGCTGTGGCGGCGGCAGCTACAACAAAACTTAATACGCGAGAGGAGGCAGAGGAGGGAGAGGAGGACAGTGCCTGGCAATAGTTGCATAATGCAATTACCCACGAGCGTCCACAGGCGTATCGTATCGTATCGTATCGGCGGTATTTAGTGGTGCGACCATACCAGAACCATGGAGGGGGGGTGTCGGGTCAGGCTCTCCAGTCAGGCGTAAAGCTCATTCGGCCATACACCCGAGGGCTGACTCTGACTCTGCCTCTCCCGCCCCCCCTAAAAACCTCTCCCCCACCCTCACCCGCACAGCAGGTAATTCAATCTGTCGCAGCTTTTTGCAAGCGGCAACATTTTCCTGCATTTTTCACATATTTGCAAATATTTTCATGTCTCGTTTTGGGGTTTCTCTTTTTTTAAATATCCGGCAGATGGGAGAGGGGGCGGCGCAGAGGTTAGAGCTGGCAGACGGCGACGCCGCCACATCCGATGTGTGCGAGTGAATTATGGGCTCCGGGATACCCCCCGCCCCCACCACACACCACTCGCGATGCTCTTCTCTCTGTCTATTTTCCTGTCCTTTATGCAGCTCAAAGGATCTTAAAGTTGGAAATGCAAATGGAATGAAATAATTCCCCCAAATTGGATGCCTGAAAACTAAAAGTCCATTAAATGTTTGCCAACATTTCCCGATACGAATACTGTGATTCAGAGATACTGTAATGGATTCAGTAATTAGATTGAAATTAATTGAAATTGATTGAGTTATCGAATTGCATACAAAATTTCAGTCTATACTAAAAAAAATATCTATGCAAAAAAATAAAGTCTGGGATGTTTAAATTTTACTCTAAACAGTTTCTGTTGAAAGGTTCGGTAGAGTGTAAAAATTTGCTGAAAAAGAGTTCTGAGTGTTCTTAGGTGCACTACAATTTTTCTGAACCTTTACGGGACGTACCCATTCGGTTAACAATTAGTTGCACCCTCTCATACACAAAGTTATAAAAAGCTTCGAATTAAAGCAAAATTATTTTAAATACAAAAACTGAAATAAAATTACTTTAAATAAAAATCAACGCTCAAATTTCACAATCTACAATCCATGATTTGATTTCAGCAACAGCAGAAATTAGTCCACTTCAACCATCATTAAAAAGTATCCCATTTCCTTGAAGCCACACAAAGGGCATTAGGATAAAAGAAACGAGAGAGAGAGAGAGAGAGAGAGAGAGAGAGAGAGAAAGAGAGAGAGGGAGGCGAATAGAGAGCGAAACTAAACTTGAATTTCAATTCGCAAAAGGAGATTAAATATCACTTAAAATTAAACTGGCGTTAAATGTAACAAATGAAGGGAAATCGAAACCATTTGAAATGCAATAAAACATCGTCGGCGAGCGAACGGAGAAAGGATGTAGATAAGGAAAAGCAATCGAACGATAACGAAGGAGGAGCAGGAGGAGGAGTAGAAGGGTGTGCTGGAAACTGCATCAAAACAACGCTAAAAACGAAGATAGAGAGAGCGAGAGAGAGAAATCTCACACAATTCCCATTATGTGCATGTCAACTGCAGTTAGAATCAAACCCAAGACACACACACACACACCACACACACTCGACCCAAAGAGAACAATGCGTTAAAAAAGAGAAAAGGATAAACTAAAAGAAAAAGAAAAGAAAAAGGAAACGCTGATGGAGGAGGAGTAGGAGTAGCAGCAGCAGTTGGAGCAGTTGGAGCATCGATGGATAGACGAGTAAAGCTGAAAACGACACCCAGTCACGTTTTTGGACAAAAAGAACTTAATCCCCAAAAGTGGGTGGGAAGATGAAATCGAGAGCCTCCAGACAAGACGTGCCAAAGTCCACCAAAAAGGATACAAAAAGCATACACACAAATACATATCTATATATCAAGGATATATATGTAGGTACGGATGTATCCTTGGACACACGTTCGTTGCACGTTGGACGTTGGACGAGAGTCGTCGAAGCAACGAAACGAATTAATCGAAGTAAAATAAATCAATGTCCTTAAACTTTCCGCCACACACACACACACACACATACAGATTTTCGGACTGGAATACAAGAGCAAGAAGCAGCAGCAGCAGCACCACCACAAGCTGAAATAGTACAGAGTATAGTGGTGGTAGTAGGTCCCTGGTAGGTGTACGTACAAAAAGTATGGGAGTGCAAGCAGCAGCAGTAGCTGAAACACAAATGGTGCCAGATCCATCGTAGGGTAGAGTAGAGTAGGAAGACACTACTAACTAAAACAAACACAGCCCCGCCAAACGAATTTAGTTCATGTTCCTCGAGAGCAAAATCATTGAACTTTGGCTAACGATAGTTTGAAGATACAGCAGAAGAAAAGTGAAGTCAGCAGCACCCACAGGTATAATTATTTGAGTACAATTTTTTGGAATTAAATTTGATTAAATTAAATTAAATTTATTTATCTTTTATATAAGTTTCTAAAGGCAAAAGTCTAGCACTACGCCTAATTAATTGTGAATTTATTATGAATTTGTGAATTTTCCGAATTTATTATATATTTATTTATTTTTTATTATATTTATTTATTATTATTATTGTTATTATTATAATATTATTATTTATTTATTTATTATTATTGTTATTATTAATAAAATTATTAATTAAATTAATTAAAATAAACGGAAATAATAGAAGATATATTCCCATTTACAATCTGGAATTAACGTTTTTAGAATTAAATCACGGCATCTTTTACTTCTTTCTAACTCCCATCTCTAACTAGAAAAGTGGACTCGTGGGAGTCCTTTACCTTTAGACCGTGACAAATGTTTAGCAATGCCTCAGTGGCAACCAAAAGTCATGACCAAATCCAATTTCCACCCAACACACAAAAAAAAAAAAAACTAACAAAAATCTAACTGAAACGTTTCGAAAATTGCGCCTGCATTTGAAATTGAAATTCACTTTTTCCTTGGCAGAGACGAGAGCACGGGGGGGGGCTAGAATAAAATTAAGTGAAATTTTATGCATTTTTCACGCTCAGTGCTGCAGCTAAATAAAAATGTCAAGAGCACAAAGTTCCACAGAGAGACAGAGACAGAGCGTGAGAGAAAGAGGGCGCAAGAAGAGAGGCGGCAGGCGGCAGGCCGATGAAGGCGTTAGATAAGTGCGTTACTTTTCCTTTTTTTTTCTTTCTTTCTTTCTTAGGGTAAGACACAGGGCGGTGCTGCTGGGACATTGGACAGCTGGTCTTAGAGATGAAGGAGGAAAAAAGCTTTTCAAAATGAAGTTCTCAAGAGAGAACCCAAAAAGATAACGA